ATTGGAACGAGCCCGAGAATGGAGCTTTTGTCTTTTGACCCTCCTGCCACGGGAACTGGCATTTTCTAACGCCAGGCCTGCAGCTCCATGTTTGCTCTCTGGACCAGTGGCTGAGGATGCCTAACATTCACGAGGCCCTGGACTCAGTCTCCAGCACCTCAGAAGACCGAGATGCTCGCCTGTAATCCCAGCTCTAGGAGGTCGAGGTAGCAGGACGCGATGTCCAGTCACCCTGTAATACATGAGACACTGTAAAGAAACAAGCACTGGTGTATAGGGCAGAGAAACTACATTCATAGCTGTCTTGACGTTGCTGCCTCCTCTCCTCGAAACTTCTTTGTATTAACCTTCTGATATCTTCAAGTTCTGCCAGGCAATACAATGAAGAGGGAATTACTAAGCAGGGCACGGACTTTTCCTCTTGGGGAATTTGCCTGTAGAGAGTGGCAGCAAATCCTGATGCTGCTTCTTTCTCCTTAATTAGGACCAAGCCCCATTGCACACCCAATCCAACCAGCACAGGGAGCAGCCTCCTGGGGACTTACCACACTGCACTGCAGTCCGGTTCTCTCTCACACATGGGGGCTGCATTTGCTCTGGACCGGCTTTCATCCTTTCCTGCACCCATTGTCCTTTTCTCTTTCTTCACCTCCCGGAACTAGCTTCTGCGGCATTTTCTTGCAGTGATCTAGGCCCAAGTTTTCCTATATGAACTCGAGTTCCCTGGAAGGCTGTGTTAAGATTCTGCAGACTCACTGATTAGTAATAGTACAAATCAAAGGCCACAATTATCCTTTAGTTCCCTTGCCAGCCCTTTGTTGCCCTCCTTTGTGTGACTTAACATCCTTTTGGGGGTAGGGTAATACCTTTTGTATTAAAGCAGCCCCGGGATTTCCACCAACACCAAAGTTAAGGATCCCATCAGCATCTAACCCTGAAGTGAGATGCCACAACTGTGCACTAAGCTACTTACTTGATAACCTCACCAGAGCACCTGGCACATACATTGACTTGTAACTGGCCTGTGTTCTGTGACTATAAAAGTAACCACTTCTGTAGTGGCATATGTTATTCTGTGTAATCTGAATTAATGTTTCTGGGCATGGTCACTCATGTTTGGTTCAGAATAAATTTTCCTACTGTCTTTGTGGTGACAGCTGTTTTACTTTCACCCAAACAAGTAAGACTACATAACATAATGGCACAAATGTGTCTTCATAAATATAAGGCCAAATTTGAATGCTTGCCACTATGGTCCTCTTAAGAAAGAAATCAACTACCAAAGTTTACACAGCAAAGTGTGTGTGTGTGTGTGTTAAAGGTCTGATCGCCTTTGCTATTTTAGTTGGCAGAAACAGAAAAAGTGAAAACTCAACAATTAATTGGTTTATAAATTCTGTGACAATAAATATTCTAATCTTCTCTGACACCTGAAAGATATAATTCTTTACTCAGAAGATTTATCTACTGTGCATTAAAATTAAAAAGATACTTAACTCCATAAAGATAAAAATCTTAACTACATCATCCAGAAAAGTACATAAAATTGTCATCACTAGACCATGCCTCCAAGTCTGCCAAATTATTTTTTAAAATGTATTTAGCATACATAAAATATCTATTCTCTCATCAAAGGTACAATATAAAAATGTTTGACATTTACACATTGCAAGATCCACTGGAGAGCCTGTCATAGGACAGTTTGAAATTGGAAATCTCAATGGCAGAAATATATACAATTTTAAAGTAATCTATATATAATTTATTTAATTTGAAAGTATGGGAGTTATGTAACCTTTGAAAACAGAATAGTATCTTGAAAAGCTTTGAACTAAAAAAGAAAAACTACAGCAAGTACCTCATGACTCCAAAGGTTCTGTGGCCCCGACAGAGCCATTTTCCACACACTAAAGCAAGAGAATGTATAGTAACAGTCACAGTTCTAAAACTTATGAAATTTTACCCTCCAGTTACCAGGTTTCCAGTATTTGGGGCCACCAATTTCTCCTTTCAGCCCCTCACCCACTCCCCTGAGCATCTTGGATGTACTCAGCCACTGAAGGCAGGGGTACCATCTTTCCTGTCTTACATCTTCACTCCATACGAGACCCACAGCAGGAGGCTGATATAAACACTTTGCCAACAGTCTAATCAAAAGTAGCTGACACTGGGCTAAGGGACAGATAATGACAGTGTCGCTGAGGAAAAACTTCAATCATAGATACTGCTTCCTCAAACAAGATTAAATGTTTTGGGGAGTTGTAGAACCCAGGCCTCTGGCATACCAACTACTCTAAGGACATACCACTAAAGTACACTCCACCCTTCCAAACCAGATTAGGATACCCATCCTTCCATAGCAGATTAAGTAATATAAAATCTGACAACATTCTAGCTGATTTGTTGCTGTTTTGATATCACACCTTTAAGCCCATCATTCAGGAGGCAGAAGCAGGCGGATCTCTGTGAGTCTGAGGCTAACCTGGTCTACAGAATTAGTTCCAGGACGGCCAAGGCTATACAGAAAACCTTGTCTCAAAACACACACACACACACACACACACACACACACACGGTATCGCACAAACCTATGTTTCAGATATTAAGATATGTAAACAACTCAAAATGGAAACCTTGAGTTCAATGAAAACTTACAAACCTAAAGAAGACTTAGCCAAATTAGGCAAAGTTTCTTAAAAGTTACTGAGGTATTTATTCACAATCACAGCTGTGCAGTGCTGGGCACAGAGGAAACCTAATCATCAGTAAAGCCCAGCATGAGGGATTAAAACATAACTGTGAGTTCTTTTTATAATGTCCAATAATCTGAGATAAGAGGAGAGCAATTCAATCCTGGCAACATACAACCCTGCATATACAGCACTACCAAATATGCTCAGGTACAATAGCCTTTGTGAGATACGTGTTAACGCAATGTTCTCAACCTTCCTAATGCTTTGTCCCTTTAATACAGTTCCTCATGCTGTGATGACCCCCCAACCATACAATTATTTTGTTGCTGCTTCATAACTGTAATCTTGATACTGTTATGAATCAGAGTGTAAGTATTGATATCCAGGGTTGTTCATACCCTCAAAGAGCTTGTGACACACCTTAAGAACTGCTGTGCTAAAGGGTTTCTAAGAGTTAATCATATCATTTTCATAACAGATAAACTCTTAAAATATAGGTGCTGCTTAGCCAGCTAGAGATTTGGTTTTCTGATAGGACTGGCAGCAGGAGTGTGCTCCTGATTGTGAGGGTAAGCTTCTCTCTGTTCCTGTTTTGTTGCCTCCATCTTGAGAACCTGTGCAGATGACAATGTAGGGATGTGTGTAGGGAGTGTGCTGAGTGTTTATGTGTATTTGCATGTAGAGGCAGGAAGTCACCTTCAGGCCTTCCTGTAGCATTCTCCACCTGAGGTTTTTGAGGTGGAGTCTCTCACTGACCCTGGAGCTCAGTTTCAGCTAGACTGCCTTGCCAGTGAGGAGCTCAAGGGATCCTCCTGCCTCTGTGCCCCAGGCACTAAGGTTAATCTGTGCTGAGGATGCCTAGCTTTGTCGTTGTTGTTTTATGTGGGTCCTGGGACAGGAACTCCAGTCCTACACTGTGTGGCAAGCACTTTATTGACTGAGTTCCTCTTGGCCACTGGGGATGAATAATGTTGATGCAACTTGAGCTGTGGACAAAGCATTTTATCTTTGATGAGTTATGCATTGAGTTCCAGGTTATTAACATGTTTTATAGAAAAAACAGTATCCAGTTCATGGTCCTGAGCTCTGCGTTCTAGCCACTGCCCCATGAAATATGAGTAACTGACTATGTTAAGTTGGCTGCCATTGTTGTGCCTGAGTGTCACTGCATGTAAAACAGCAATAAGAATTTTTTTTTTCAGAGATCCTGCCTGCCTCTGCCTCCTGTGTGCTGGGACTAGGTGTATGCCACCAGGCCCAGCCAGGAATGTTTGTGCCACAACTGTCATAGGTATATTTCTAGGATAAAGTAAAACACTAGAAAACTCTTTAATTTTTATATAAACACAAAAGATATGCTATGTGTGGTACAATTCACACTGAGCCCACTCTTGATCTATGCTCAATGCAGGTGCTCCTACAAGATCACAGGTTGAGTATTTAGTCTGATTTTATTTTAAAAATAATAAATCACAAAACTAAAATGTTTGAACAAGGTCACTTAGCCCTCTCCCAGGTAGGTTATTATTTTTTTATCATTTTCGACATCTTTATTACCCCAGAGCTACATGTTTAAAAGAGGGATCTTTAATACGTCAGCGATGACACCAGGAAACCCATCCTTGGCACAGGTGGTCCTCAGAAGAAACGCTGGTCTTCACAGGGTCTTTCGCCTCTGCTTTCAAAGTACTGACCCTGGGTGGAGGGGACAGAGTAGTCACTCAGAGTTTCTCATTGAGGGACCAGTTCCCTCAGGGAGGCCAGAGCAGCGTGGATGCGGACATGCAATCTGTTTTCAAAGTCGTAGCCAGAAAAATCCTCCTGGAAGGGCCAGATAAAGATGATTGTGGACTGTTAGCTGAGCTCGTCCCCATAGTGTCACAGGATAACACACTGCATTTTACACCCATAGAACAACTCCCTACCTCTTACAGGAAACTTCACGTCCACTTGATAATCTGACTCCCTAACATTCAGGCAGTGTTTAAAATTGTTAGAGACTGGTGGCCCAAGCCTGTAATTCTAGCACTGGAAAGGATAAGTCTCTGGAAAAATCCCCTCATATTGTTCTTGAAATACTAGTCTTAAGTTAGGCTCAAAAAAGCTACTGTTAAGAAATTCTTCAAAAACACAGGAGGGGCTGGGAGACAGACTGGCAGTTAGAAACATGGGTTGCTCTTCCAGAGGACCCAGGTTCAATTCCTAGCACCCATATGGCAGTTTACAGCCACTCTTAACTCCAACTCCAGGCATCAGACACCTTCTTCTGGCCTTTGAAGGTACCAGCCATGTATGTGGTACACATATACACACTCTGGCAAAACACTATATACATAAAATAAAAATGTCAAATATTTTTAAAATACTCATATACATAAAATAAAATGTCAAATATTTAAAAAATACATAAATAAAATAAAATATCAAGTATTTTAAAAACATATCTATGAAACCAAAAGATAATTGTTCCTGGAGCTAGGTACGGTGGTATAAGGCTGAAGCCCCATCTAGTCAGAAAGCCGAGGTAGGGGGTCTTATTGGAGCCCAGGAGTGTAATACTAATATGGAAACACAGCAAGACCTATTTAAAAATCGGAATAATGAGGCTTATTTTCCCTATCAAAGCACCAAAACTAGAACTAGAGAGATGTCTCAGAGGTTAAGAACACTAGCTGGTCTTCCAGAGGTCCTGAGTTCAATTCCTAGCAACTACCTGGTGGCTCCTAACCATCTGTAATGAGATCTGATGACCTCTTCTGGCCTTTAAGGGTACATGCAGACAGACACTGTATACATAAGAAATAAGTATACCTTAAAAAATAAAAATAAAAAAACCCACACCAAAACTAGAGAACTTATAGACAGGGCAAATGAATCTATAGTAATTTATCCTAATCTTGGAGATTTCCCTTCAAGCCAAGTGTTCATGATTTGCTTAGAAACTGCTTCTCTTTAGAATTATTGACACATGTGTCAACACTTCCATATTTTTCTGAATTCAGACCCAAGTATAAAAAAATAGGGTAATAACAGCCATGAGAAGAAGGTGGACTGGGTGTTTTGTTTTTGTTTTTGTTTTTTTACCTTTGCCTGAAGGAGTAGAGTTCTGCCTCTTCCTACAGTCTGTGAACATAAGAAAAACATACTGTGTCTTAACAGCGATGTCTGCATATCTATCAGTGGAGGACACACAACCAGACAATCCATAGGAGACACAAAGGGGCGCCAAGCACAAGTGCTACTTTTCACTAATGTAAAGACATTTATTAGTTTACATTAAGGCATTACTTGACAAGCAAGTTTTCATGGTCCACTATTGTGTACAAAAGGCAACAATTTCAGCAAGCATTACAGGCTGAGCTGATGTCCGTTTATACTAAGACTACGTGAGAAGTAAACATTCCCTTACGATAAAGGGTGCAATGAATGTTTCAAATTTCAATCCAAATGTGTGACACTTACTTTTTTTTTTTTTTTCTGTTTTGGTAAAATGACTCAATTACACAATCTGAGTCATTGTTTTCAGGCACTAGTGAAACCTGATTATAACAAAACAAACCAAAATCCTGGTACCCATTTGCTGACTTACACATCTGTGTGTGTGTGTGTGTGTGTGTGTGTGTGTGTGTGTGAGTGTGTGTGTGTGTGTGTATTTGGGGGGTTCTCTGTATGGAATATAGAGGTCAGAGGATGACCTGGGGTGTTCTTAAATGTCTTCTGACTTTTGTTTGAGACAGTTTCTCTCAGTGGTCTTTCACTTGGAGGCCAGACAGCTTCCTGGGAGCCTCTGGCTCTGCCTCCCATCCCTTGGCACTGGGGTTATGGACAAGTGCACCACACCTGGTTTTTATATGACTCTGGGGATCCAAATTTGAGTCCTCACACTTGGGAGGCAAGTCCTTCACTAACCGAGCCATTAATACATAGTAGCTGTCAAATTATGTATAAAATGTGGTAACAATTTTAAAGGACTCACGTGTCATCTTCACTTATTCTCACTATAACTCTTAGTGAATTGGCAAGCCAGGTTTGCCCATTGTGTAGGCTAGGAAGTAGGTTTGTGCTTTGGTAACTTGACCAATGGCATAACAGAGCTCTCAGCTTTTCAATACACCACACTATATCATACCACTCTGAAAAAGACAATAGTCCTCCCCACAAAGGAAGCTTTGTATGCAAAGTTGCATGTGTAATTCAAATTCCAGTGAAGCCATTGTCGTCTCTTTAAGAACATTAGCATCAACCAACGTCAGCCTCCTGGACTCACCCAGGAGACCCAGAAAAGCAAATTGGAGGTTTGGTCTAATTGAAGAGTGCTCTGTGCTGCTATGTGCACTCTGGCTGCTGGAGACTATGAACACAGAAGAACTCTTACCTCTGGCCTGCCTAGTAGGAGACAGCCAAGTTCGTAGCATGCATACGGCTGGACATACAAGTTATTCTGACGACATAGCTCATCTTTAGCAGCACGCTGGAAGAACTGAGAGTCACACGAATGTTACTAGAAAGAATTCATTTCCTTCTTGGTGTAAGATTCATCACGGCCCTCAGGAGGCAAGAAAGGAGATTTTTCTTTTTCTAGATCTAATTTTCTCCTCTTTACTGATCTTTATTCCTTCCCACTTTCATTTTACTGGATTATGTAAGGCCATCTCCATGCAAGTGCACAGTGTATTTCACTGGATTATGTGAGGCCATCTCCATGCAAGTGCAGAGTGTATTCTACTGGATTATGTAAGGCCATCTCCATGCAAGTGCACAGTGTATTTTACTGGATTATGTGAGGCCATCTCCATGCAAGTGCACAGTGTATTTTACTGGATTATGTGAGGCCATCTCCATGCAAGTGCACAGTGTATTTTACTGGATTATGTGAGGCCATCTCCATGCAAGTGCACAGTGTATTTTACTGGATTATGTGAGGCCATCTCCATGCAAGTGCACAGTGTATTTTGAACACACCCCCCATCCCCAGCTGGCCTCCCCTTTCACCTCCTCCCATCAATTCTCACGGACCACCACCTAGATAATTTCACTTCTGCATCATGTCATCTAAACACAAATGATTTGGTGCATTCAACTAAGACCTGTGGACAAGGGAAAGCTGATACCTGTCTTTCTGAGACTAATTGGACCCTCTCATTATGACTATCTCCGTCTATAACTATGTTCTACAACTATGGAAATGCCTTCCTGCCTCCAAATTTCCATTTGTACCTTAGAAGCCCATCCACACCTGAGGGGAGGTTCCCTAGGACACAAGCCCACTGGCCATCAGGCAACCAGGTTCCCTAGGACACAAACTCTCTGGCCATCAGCAACCTAACTTGTGCTGCTGATTCTTCCAGCCAACACACCAACTTTTATTGACCAGAAGAAACTCCTTATCTGCTACAAAGTCTAAACATCTCCATGTTAATATGTAAAACACACACAGGCCAACGTCTACCTCCTAACATACATCTTGCCACTACCTAAGTATGCAATCTAAAATAGCTGTTTAGAGTTAGGTAATAACTAAGATAATTCACATTGAAAGACTAATTTCAAACTCAACACGAATATGTTAATAGCCTATGATTTAAAGGCTATGTCTATATGAAACTATTTCAAAAAGTAGGTAATGTAATACCACTTATTTTAGATTTTGTTTTTTAAACTAACTGGCCTGGAGTGTAGCCCTACAGGAGAAAGCAAATTTAACGTGAGTGAAGCTCTGAGTGCAGTTCCTAGTACCAAACAGCAATGAACGAAACCTTAGCTTAAAAAAAAATCCCTCCAGCTACACTGGAAAATAATGGTGGATTCTCCCCATCACACACTGAAAGCCTGGCCCCGGCTTGGCACTTGTGAGGAGGGACTGGACCACCAGGATGCTTCATGCTGCTGAACCCATCAGCTGATGAATTCACAGTCCAGTTTTGGGAGGTGAAGCTGGTGAGAGGATTCGGTAACAGGGGCTTATCTGTTCCAGGAATATCCTCTTCCTTTCTGACTTATTTTCTGCTTCCTGAGGGAACTCTGTCATGTCTTCTCTGTCATATCATGTCATGTCTGTCATGTCTTCTCCCCAGATGTTCCACCTCTCCACAGCCTGAAACTGAGCTAAAGAAAAACAAACAAGCAAACAACCCCCCCCCCAAAACAACAAAAAACCCCTCCCCTCCAAGCTCAGGTACTTTCCCACAGGGTCAGACAGCCCCCTAACTTGCAAGCCTAAGGCAACATTTTTCAAGCCTCTTCCCCAATCCTGGGCACCTCTCTATTATCATAAAGAGAAGAAAGTGATGGGAGGAGAGGATACAAGCAGCCTAACATCCGCACCAGACAGCCCTGTCCTTGTCCATGAAGGTTTGCTGCTCGCTCAAGCGGTCAGCCTCATTTCCCCCTCTCCTGAGCATCAGCTCAGGATAGATCATCCTTGATAAAGAGCACAGAGAGGAGCGCTCTAAGGAACCGTAGTTAGGTTAAGAACATCACATTAACCACCTGTCCTCTTAGCGTCTGAAAATGCTATTCCTTAAATACTGTGCACAAGTATTTACACAGTGTCGAGGTTCCTCCTGCTGCTCTCTCACCTGCCTCCCCCATAAGCACACATACAGGGAGTCACAGTTTGTCTTACTGGAGCCAAAACAACATGTTTACCTGAACAGCATCTTCTGAGTTTCCTAGACATTTGTGTATGGCACCAAGGAGCAAATGCTTCAACCCAGTGACAGATGGATCATCCACTTCATGGCAAGCTTGAAGAGAGGGAAAGGAAGGGAAGACACCCACTTAGAACCTCAGTGTCACCAAGTTTAGTAGCCATGTCTGTTTAGTTTATACTTCTGCCCCCAAATTCAGAAGGTACCCATTGCTCATCCATCGGTGACTCTCCTTAACCAAGGAAGGGCAAAAATATCAACCTTTCTTCTGTGCGTGTATGTGTACTCATGTGTGTGTATGTGCACTCGTGTGTGTGTAGGTGCACATGTATGGAGGCCAAGGATCAGCCTTCAGGGTCATTCCTCAGACACTGCTTTCCTTTTTTTCTAGGATGGGGGTCTCTCAGGGGCCTGGAACTTGCCAATGTGGTTAGTGTCGCCAGCGACACATCTGTTCCTGTGGATAACATGTATGCATCACTATAGTATTTCCTGGTAATGTGAGTTCTGAAGATGAAATTCAGCTTCTTATGCCTGCATGGCGAGTACTCTACTAACAGAGTCATCTCCACAGCAAAAACATCAACCCTTGAAGAATCCCAGACTTCACCTTTTCACCAGAAGGGAGCTAATCTGATAGGGCCACAGTCTGCATCTTTCCAACTATATAATGTTCTGGAAGAGACAAAATTGTGCAGACCAAAGAGCATCAGCAATTACCAGAGGTCAGGGAAGAAAGAAGGATGAGCAGGTGGAGGAGGGTGGATGTTTAGGGCAGTGACAAAATTCATTTGTAAGACACTATGTGAGCCTAGGCCATGGACACTTGTTCACATCAGCAGAAAGTGCAGCAGGAGCCCACACCTCTTTGCACTGTGGCTTTGGGGGCTATACTATTTAATACTACAGCATCTGTGCCAACAAATGCACCACACTGTTCTGTATGGAATGTTGTGTAAGGGCATCAGAGGGTGTGAGGGAAGGTGTGTGTGTGTGTGTGTGTGTGTGTGTGTGTGTGTGTGTGTGTGTGTGTGTGTGTGTTTGTGTGTGTGTAAAGGGTGTTCTAGACTTTGTGATCAATTCTGCTGCAAACCTCAAACCTTTTCAAAAATTCTATTAATATAAAACTGCATTACACCAACTACAGGCGTCATGCAATAGACTCTCTAGGCAAGCTTATATGTTGTGCAGCACTCAGCACCAAGGGAGACTCAAAACAGGGCATTTGACCATTAGGGTGGAGATTTTTTCTTTTAAAGAAATAAAAATTGATTTGGGAAGAGAGCTCATTTGGTTAAAGTGCTTGCAAAGACCCATCGGTTAATTCTCTAGGAGCCACATAAAAGGCCACGCATGCTGGCAGGTGCTGGTAAGCCCAGTACCTGGGGATGGGGACAGGTACAGTCTAGGAGTATAACACCCAAGGACATCTCCTGGCCTCCAAGAACACATGCACATGTGTGCAACACACATTTACACGCATGTGTGCACACACTCATGTGCACACGCACATATGCACACTTACATGCACATGCAAATGCACACACACACACACACACAGAGAGTGCACCTGCAAGAAAGTCTTGTCTCAAAAGTCAAAATCTGAGATTTAATGACTAATCCCATATTCAGTCAGGTGTGGCTACACAAAATCTGAAGAACTCTCTGTAGTGCCTTACCTGGAGTAAGTCCAAATTGTTTACTGTAAATCTCTTTCAGGAAAAAGCAGCACATCAGAATAGATTCCCAAAGACACCTTCCATGGAAGCACTGTTTTAGAGGTCTGTGTTTTCATTTTAGCACAGCATGGGGATAAAGTGTCTGTTTGTCAGCACAGGGTCCCTGTATGTAGCCATGGCTGGCCTTAATTCTGCAATCTTAAGTATTGGGTCATAGGTTTAGCCATCACACCAGGCTTTTCTCTTGGAGCTGTACTTCCAGATATGTAATTCAAGCCTCTGAAAACTCTCAGAAAGGCAAGGCTGTGTAGAGATCCACTCAGCAAAATCTATGCTACTCAATATGTGATATTCAGACCCACAGAGTTGATGTCAGCTTCTATGGTCACAGGGCAAGTCAATCCTGATCTGGGCCTGTTTCCTCACTAAAAAACAATATGATACTGCTTTCCCTTCCTTCCCTACTTCTGAGGGTTGTGGTGTGGAGCAAACAATTTTCTAGACTACAAAATGCCATTAAAATGTCTCTAACTAAGGTTTTACAAACTAAGATTTTCTATTAGTTGCTTAATAATTAACAGAGTCCCACTGTACATGGCAATCTAGTTTTTTCTCTATGGGGAATTTTCCTGCCACTATAATAAAAATGGCTTTACCAAGATTCCCTTTATATAGGCCTTCATATTTTCAAGCACATGGGTCAAAAGATGTAGGCTTTTAATTACATGGCTACATATTTACCCTGGAGATAAAACTCATAAACTTATACACAAGTCATAGCAGTTTTACTGATGACAGCTTAAAACACATTTCAAATGTCCATCAACAGGAACGAGAGAAGCTAAGAGTAGTTCTGATATGTGTATGCAATGGAATACTACTCATCAAGGAAAAGAAACGATTTACTAATAGAGGCTATTGATGACGTTTCATGAGGGAAGCAGGTCAGAGACAGGCAAACTATGAATATAGAACTCAGAACAGTGTCTGCAATGAGGTAGGGACTGACAGAGAAGGAGCACACATAAGCTACCAGGGGTGCTACAAATGTTCTGTACAGACACCCAGCTGTGCATATTGCCCCAGCTCAAACAGCCAGACACTACCTGAATCTTTCATGTATGTTCAAAAATCACACTTACATGAAAACAAGAGCTTCCTCTGGGAAAAGTGTGTGCTCACAGCATCCACCAATGTCGTCAAACTGGTACTTTCCTTTTTGGCTTTTAATTTTGTTTTGCCTTTTGAGACAGGATTCATGTAGCTCAGCCTGTTCTTGAGTTCACTATGTCACTAAGGATGGATGAGCTTAAACTACTGATTCGCCTACCTCCACCTCCTAAGTGCTAAGATTACAGGCACGTGTCACCATGCCCAGTTAACACTCCTTGTCATCATCAGGTGTCGTCATCATCAGGCGTGTGTATCTGTCCACACCAGTGTGTCCCACCCCTGTTGCTGATGACACAGCATGACAGATGTGTACTCTCCATGTCAGCTGCATGACTGAGGACTGAGAGAAGCTGCCCTGATCAATCAGCTGACTGCATGGAGCATGTCTTACCTTGACTCATCCTCTGCAGGTTGGGGAAAGAGCAGTTGGGAAGGGCTTTCCACAAGTACAGAACTTCGATGGATGCCAGCACACAAAGTGCTCTGGTTGGGGTTTGCTTCCGGAATCTCTCAGCCTGCAAGGAATTCTCAAACTATCAGGCCCTGATGGTCAAAAGCAAACTCATACAAACTTGTCTTTGGAGGAGCATCACAGTGCAAGGTCAATGTAAATGGCTGTAAATGGAAAGTCTCTCTACATCACAAAATGCTTTGCAGGTTTTTAAAAATACATTCATGGCTGTGACTTATAGTCATTATTCAGCCAAGTCTCAGGTGTCTGTGATCTGAGAATGTGGGGGTGAAAAAGATGCATTCAGTTTAAATCCATGAACCCTCACAAGCTAGGTGGTTAACTCAGTGGTCCATATGGGCACATTTCTACCATGGCCCTGTGGACTTTCAATCTTCAGCTTAGCCCCACAGCTCTCAGCTGCATTATAATTTTATATGCATTTATTTATTTTTTATTACTGGAGAACCACACTCAGGGCCTTGCATATGCCAGGCAAGTGCCCTAGTACCGAGCCCCACATTTCCTAATTGTGTGTGTGTGTGTGTGTGTGTGTGTGTGTGTGTGTGTGTGTAGCCTTGAGTGAAGGTTCTTGTTGAGGCCAGAAGGTGGCACTGTATTCTGTCTGGAGCTGGCATTTCAGCTCCCAGTTTGACTGGGAACCAAAGGTGTGTCCAATGCTGCAAGAGTAGTGAGCACTCTTAAGAGCTGAGCTGTCTCTGCAGCCCTGTAATTTATTTTATGCCAGAACAAATTCATTAACTATTCATTTAATAAAAGCTAATTAAACTTTTAAGACTTTATGAAGTAAAAGAACATTTTAAAATGTGAAGGAAAAATCAAACTATTACAAGCTAAGACATCACTCAAGGTTATTCAGCCGTTATCTTAGTGTCAGAAATAGACAATAAAATTGGGGCATTTGCCTATAGTCCTGAAATCTCTACTGATAAATACAATGTCACTTCTGGTCTTTATTGCATCAAAATGTGAGGTGGTCACCATCCTGGGAAGCAGAACCATCTGCCTCTCAGGGGTTCTACCAACTTTTTCTCAAGTGACCTGAACTTCACACAGACACTGCCTCTCTCCAGGGTCTAGCACATCTCATTCAAAAATCAAAACAACCTTGCTTCAGTTACATGCAGCCTTTGTCCTCAAGAGTAGAAGAAGGACCACAGGAGAAAACACACTGGATATGAATGACAGCATAGAGCTTAGTTAGCCAGGCAGGTGTTAGTGCCCACCATCCATCACAGGTGATTGACAGGTCTTGACAGACATACCTTTTTTACTGAGAACTGCTCAATCTGGTTGTTTTTCCTCTTGAACAACTTCTGGACTTCTTTAAAGACAAGTTGTGCCCCATCCATGTCACCGGTGGCTCCCTGACAAACTGCAAAACATCAGAATTGCATTCCTATGGTCTCCAGGGAAAAGACACAAACAAGTTATGTCCAAAAGATGGCACTATCCTGCTGACCCCATCCTGTACATTCAACTCTTTCTAGCAGGCAGGTGTCAAGAAATCTTTGGGACATGAAGTATCTGGGTCCTCCTTGCTCTAGTGGAAGAAGACAGTCTCACATGTAAAAAATGGTCAGTTCTTGCCACAGAGTACAAGCTACATGAAGACCCTGTCTTCAGAGTTCTGAATAACACAGATCTAGGGAAGAAGACAGTATGGGGAACATGAATTCATGAAGCAGTCTGCACACACTCAGAGGCCTTCTACCATCACAAGCCACCAGGGATGCATAGCTAAGCGTACATGCATGCATACACACACACACACACACACACACACACACACACACACACACACACACACACGTGCGCGCGTGTGTGCAAAGAGAGGGGGGTCCCATAGCTGTAACACTTATGGTGACAGTAGCAATAAAGGAGGGATACACTGGTGCTTTTAGAACCCCCAGAGAAAACAGGATCGGCTCTCTTTGGATTGTGGGAAGCCATGAGGTGCTGCCTGTTCAGATGCTGATGCTTGCTAGCCCAGCAGGCTACCTGAGTCCCACCATGGAGATTAGTCACATTCCCCTTGCAAACTTCATGTCTAGCATTAGCACTACTATCTTAATGAAATGATTATCACTTGGGGGCATCCTCCTCTCAGCTCCCAGGAAGCACTGACCCTACACACGCCTGTTCCTTTTTCACCAAGTTTGGGCTTGGCCTTGTGTTGCAATTGAGTAAAACTGAAGGCTCTTCTATCTTCTCACCTAAGAACCAGAGAGCCTAGGTAGGCAGATCACAGGGCCATGGCAACTGTTGAAGGGGACACAAGAACACACAAGGTTTGCAGAAAGTTGAGGATACCAAGGTGATGGGGATGTTACGAGATTCTTAATAGTTAGAGGGTTCTAAAGAAGAAACTTTCCACTCCCAGCTACACAAACATGCTGGGGGCAGGGTGGGAGCTGCACCAATCCAAAATGGCCACATCTACCTCAACAATGGCATGGGAGCACCAGAAGGAAGTGTATGACAGGCTGTGTCACCAATCTGTCACTGTGGATCCAGGAACAAAGAGGCCCAGGGGAGTGAAGTGCTAAGACCCCAGGAAGCAAGTGAGAAAAGAGCATGTCTACTGCCTTAGCTTGATGTCTTCCTCAGATCACTGAGAACATTCTTTTCAATTAGACCTGGACCAGAGTCATGTATTTGTGTGGGTATACACACATATCACACATGTAGAGATCAGAGGACAACTTGTAGGAGGGGATCCTCTCCTACCCATATGGGTCCCAAGGATTGAAATAGGGTCATTGGGCTTGAAGCAAGCACTTTTACCCATTTAGCCATCCTGATGGCCTGAGAACATTCTTGTGTGTGTGGCTTATATACATGATCATGTGTACACATGTGCATGTGGAGACCAGAAGCCAATGAAAGGTGTTATTGTCATTACCATTGTCATCATCACCACATCCCTGCTGCACCCAGAAGATTAAAAAGGTGGGTGCTGTGGATCTGACATATACTAAATAGAGAGAAACTCAACGAGATTCCTCTAAAATCAGGAACAAGACAAGGCTGTCCACTCTCTCCATATCTCCTCAATATTGTACTTGAAGTTCTAGCTAGAGCAATAAGACAACAAAAGGAGATCAAGGGGATACAAATTGGAAAGGAAGAAGTCAAACTTTCACTATTTGCAGATGATATGATAGTTTACATAAGTGAACCGAAAAACTCTACCAGGAAACCCCTACAGCTGATAAACACCTTCAGCAAAGTGTCAGGATACAAGATTAACTAAAAAAAAAAAATAAGTAGCCCTACTATATACAGAAGATAAATGGACTGAGAAAGAAATCAGAGAAACATCACCCTTTACAATTGCCACAAACAACATAAAATACCTTGGGGTAATATAACCAAACAAGTAAAAGACCTTTATCACAAGAACTTTGAGTCTTTAAAGAAAGAAATTAAAGAAGATACCA